TTGAATGGCGGTCTTCCTCGAGCCCCTCGCCGATAACTAGTCACCATAGCATTTAATGCATGGTCAAAATATTTGGTGGAAAATTTGTAAGAAGAAAATTGAGATTAAAATTGTGTTATTCTCTCTAACTGATTTAGATAAAGAATGATTATAATTCTCTCATTACAATTTCTTTCTAACTAACTTAGAAAAAAAATTACAATCTTCTTGTATCAGAATCCTGATTTACAAAAGAGAGAATGGTCGACAAAGATCCTCCCCTTTGTTTAAAATTGGGTTCTTCACGGTAGCGATAAGACGTCTCCCTCGAAACTTATGTCAAGTTTGCTTCTCGTTGACAATCCGAACACCTCGCTTGACTGGAACATTATCTTCTCCTCACGATTTGACGTTATAGAGAACTTACAAAACAAGTTTGAAATTAACTCTTAATGAGTTTAGGAACTCAAAGCGAGTTTAAACTCTTGTAAAAGAGTTTATTTGAACAGAAAGTCGGTTATAGCCAAGAACGAGCTCCTCGTTGCTAAAGTTGAAGATGATCTCCGTTGAAGAATAATGTCGATCCTTTCAAGCCATTTCTGATCAAAAAAATTCCAACCCTGAACTCGGTTGAGTTTTCTCTTATTTATAGGGGATTAAGGGGGTGTAACAGCTCCTTAAATCACTCCTAAGTGGGGTGTAACCGCCCTCAAATTGTGGGAAACGGTTTCGGAACCGTTCAACTCATGTTTGAACGAGTCAAACACGTTGATTTGCATTCTGGGCATGAACCTACATTCGAACGCATGGTTTAGATGATGTGTTAGCGTCCGAGCTTGAGCTGCGTCCATGGGCTTGAGCTGTGTCCATGGGCTTGAGTGTGTCCGTGGGCTTGAGCTGCGTCCATGGTTATGATCATGTTGCATCTGCGTCTATGATTGTGTTGTGTTCTCAATGGTGAACGCAGTGCCTGGAAGCTGCGTTGGTGCTGTGTTTAGCGGCTGAAACCACTACGTTTGTGCTGTGTTTGAGTTGCGTTGATAGCTAAGAACGCAATAATTACGTTGTTTTGACTCTGGAATGCAATCACTTGTGTTTCACCTCTGGGGTGTAGGGATGAGTTTTACATCTTAGATTGAAGAGATCGTTGACTTATAATCTACTTAGGAGCCGCGTTTGCCTAACTTTGACTCTGGAATGAGGCCACCTGTGCTTCACCTCTGGGATGCAGGGATGAGTCCTGCGTCTTGGATTGAAGGGATCGTTGATTTGTAATCTCCTCTGTCAGAACGTCGTGACGATCGTTGTTTTGTAATCTTCGCTTTAGCTCTTTGAAATGTGAGAGTCGTCAGATTACAACTCTAATTATTGGTTGTGAAGACCATTGATCAGAGCTTTCATCCTTGGTCGTGACGATCGTTGTTTTGTAATCTTCGCTTTAGCTCTTTGAAATGTGAGAGTCGTCAGATTACAACTCTAATTATTGGTTGTGAAGACCATTGATCAGAGCTTTCATCCTTGAAGGTCATCGATTTGTAATATTCATCGATCTACGTGAAAATCTTTAAATTATAGCCTTCTGGAAGTTGTTGAATTATAACTTTCCTTGTTGATGTTTGATGGGGATATACTATCTATTGTGATTTTTTTGACAGCCTACATAGAAATTATCATTGCTCCAGCCCCAAAAGTCTTTATGGCTCATCAGGCTCTATCAGCACGAAGCAGTTGTTGTCGCTTTGCACTAACCACTTAGATAACCTAAGCTACCCAAAGCCGACACCTATTAGTTGTTTGTCGAGTCAGTTGCCTGCATGGACTCGGGAACACATTACATATTTACCCCTCTCAGCTACGTATATATGGGTTCATTGCCAACTAGCAAAAGGAAAGACGGGAGGAAGCTACTAGGGGGCCACAAGTATGCAACTTTTGCATACTTAGAACTATTTTTAGTTCATTGGTATATTCTCCACTCAAGCTCAAATATTGACTTGATCATCAGAGGAACCATTAGAGAACCTAACTCTAGTCCTCTAACGAGTATTATTATGCAGCTCTCTTATACAGACAGGGGACCGGTCTTCAAGAGAGATGAGGGAACACATATCACTCATATTGACCTTAAGCCTCTGTACTAAATTCGGTGTTACCCGTTAATCTCGCATTGGATCTTAGGACATCAACAATCACCTTCTACCACTTTAAAAGGAGTATTTTTTAAAAGAATAAACATGATGACACATTTCCTTGTTCGAAATGCATTATAGGTCCATGTACCGAGGCCATATGAGAAAGATGATTGAGAGAGAAGAGATTGACAGATATCGGGTAGAGATATTCATTATTCTTTGTTGTTGGTCGTTGCATGTCATTTGAGGTAGTTAGCCCCTATCTTATGATGAGCTTTAAAGACTTTGCCGTATAGAGCACATTTCACCTTTTGGTTGTGAATATGACTGTGACTATCTTTGACAATATCAATCTTCTCAAAGAAAGCCACACTTCCAATCTCGGCCTTTTAGAATATGTTGGTGTTGGATCATTGGAGTTAGGATCCGTGTTAGTTGTTGGAGAACTCATATCAGGAGTTATAGTTGTATTTTTATCATCGAGGACTTTAAAATTGGAGGAAGCCTTTGAAATTGAGAGAATTAGAGGATTAGGAGAGAATATTTAAGAGTATAAAGAGAGTATAAAAGAGTATTAGAGAGTAAGAAAGTATTAAGAGAGAAGAGAATAAATTTTGGATGAGAAGTTGAATGAAAACCTCTCTCTATTTAAATGATATTTGGATGTGAAATTAAATGAAAACTCCCACTTCTATTTATAGAAGCCACCCCATAGTCAAACGACCAAAATACCCTCAAATTTTAGCCATTTTAAAGGGTATTTTGGTCAAATGACCAAGAAATAGCAGTTTATGGTGGTTTCGGTTTCGCCCAAACCAAGTCGGGCCAGACTCCCCGGTATCAATAGTCTTGCTCGCACTTATTTATACTTGAAATATATCATCTCATAAAACATAGCAGCAGTAAATGATACCTTGTTATTAATCAAACAAGAGATATTGCACGAACAGCGTTCTAACAATTATCTACGAACAATGTTCTAACGTGTTTCTGCTATCTTCAGTGCACATATGATTTATTCTTTATCTTGAATTATTAAAAACTAATCCTCTCTTGATTGTAATTCAATTCCGATTTAAGTTATTTCTTGATAATGAGTTAAAGCTGTTAAAGTAAGATATATATATATATATATAGAGAGAGAGAGATAGAGAGAGAGAGAGAGAGGAAAACTCTTGTCAACTTAAGTGGACAAGAGGTATTATCCACCAGCGTTTCTAACCGTTGGATTAAGTTTTTAGATTAAGATCTTATCAAGATGATGTGGCATGAATTAATTGCAGGAGGGGTATTTTTGTCTAAGTAAATCCACACAAAATAGGAAATCTCTCTTAATTGATTATGTAGTCATCACCGCCTTCTTTCAACTGAAACAAATTGATTCTGTAGCATCACCGCCTACTTTCAATAGCTCCCATCGAGAGCGCTCACGCCCAGAACTCCGCCGTCCGTCCACTCGCTTCAGACCGCTGGCCAGAGATCCGTCGCCCACCGCCCAGACCTCGGCCGTCCATCCACTCGCTTCAGAGCGCCGCCGCTGGCCAGAGATCTGCCGCCAGCTGGCGAAACATCATATTAGTCCTCTTACAGGGTCGAGTGGAGAGATTAGGAAGAATTTTAGGAAGACTAATTAAATATTTGTGTGAGTTTGATTAAATGTTGCAAGTGTAACTAGTGATTGTGAGATTTTCTTCCTAGTCTCCTTCTTCCTCTTGTTTCATTCCTTTTTTTCTTTTTTCTTTGGGTGCAATCTTGTTCATCTGCAACAAGGGAGGTCTTAATGTTGGGATGATGTGTTAAGATTTGGTGCTGGTTTGCGCCTGAATTGAAAAGTATGAAAATGTGATTATTTTGTTGAATTGGAAAGTATGAAAATTGTAGGAAGAATTGAAAAGTATGATAATGTTGGGATGATGTGTTAAGATTTATTTTCTTTCCTTCTTCCGTTGAATTTTGTGAGATAGTTGTCAATGAAATGAATCATTTTGTTCTCTTTAAAGTACTGCAAGATTAAGACAGTGAAAGAGCTTGACAGGAAAGAAAGGGGGAATTTTCCAAAGAATTGCTCAGAAGTAGGGCATGAATGCTTTTGATGCCGCATCTTTCACATAAAAATTTGCCTTCCTCTTTATCATGTTTTCGTGTTTGATGAAATGCCTGCATGATAATTTGCTTCCATCTATTATAATCACAAGCTGCACTCCACATGTTTGAAGTAATGCTTGCCCTTTTTTCTAAATTTGGTTGTTTGTTTGATCAAGTAACTGGGGAGTAATCGATTTTAATTGTGACCCAAAGTTAGGGTACTTTTTTGATTATTATGTTTATGTCTGTATTTCTTGATAATTACAAAGTCATGGATTTTTTTTGTAAAGTTCATTTTTAGATATTTATATGTATTGAATGGATTTTTAGATATTTGGTGACTGAAGTACAACAAAACGAGAGATTGCCTGAGTTTACATGCACGATTGGCTACCAATTAAGAAGCGTACGCTTTCACTCCTTTATTGTTTATCAGAATAAAGTTTTATCAGAACCTTACCTCCCTCGTCCTTTTACCATGGAGACAACACAAAAGAAGCTATATCATAACTGCAAGTAGTCAAAACATTAACAATGGTAGAATTCAAGAGACAAAAGTTGACATGATATTAACTCTACATCAGAGTAATATGTAACAGAGAGTACACAATAAACCCAAAAAAAAGGGAAAGCAAATCCTCTCTCAGGCTATTAACTTTCCCATGATAAGGTGAAGCAAATCATTAAGACAAAACAATGTAAAACTTTTCTCCGGATAGAACTTGTCAACTTCAGCTAGTAAAAGGATCTCCATCACCATAAGAGACCAAGCCATTATTTATGGCAAGACTGTTGGACCGAGAGCAATGAACATCATCTACTTTCAACATTACCAGGCTCTTTTAACTATTGTAATCCTATCAAGTCCTTGCTCTCGAAATCAAAACTGTTGCCCTTTCTAACACTATAGTTACTTAGTAGACCCTTTTACCCTCAAGACTCACAAACAGGTAAACCCATCATCAAGTTAAAAAAATTAAAAAATAACATAAAAATCTTTTAAAGCCATACAGTAACTTCACATATCCAAAAAGCTTCGGAAGAACATTGACAAATAAAAGAAATATTAGAAAGCGTTATTAGTAGTAATATTCTTCAACATCTTCATCCTCTTCTTCTTGGTCTTCCAGATCTTCCTCTTCTTCCTCATCGATGCTTCCTACATGACTTGTTGTTTGGGCCTGCACAAATCTCATAAAAAATAGAAATATCATACTTTGCATAGGAACATTGTCACACATTTGAGAATAAAAAAAGTAATTTTACCTTGCAAGTTCGACTATTGTGGCCTTTCCCATGACATTTTCCACAAGTTCTTTGCTTCTTAGCTTTCAACTCTGAAGGAGGCTTGAAACGTTGCATCTTTCTTTTTCCTTTGCAATTTGAAATAGGAGGAGCTCTTACTATACAATTATTATCAATAATACTTTCTTGTGTTTGAGAACATGCAGAACCTTGGATTTGCGTCATGCCATCATGCCCCGATTTATTCTCTAGTAAGTGCATTTTTGCCGCTAATAATTCTCCCACAACTTGATCTATTTTTTTATTTGCCAAATTATACAACTCAATACTCGTGGAACCTTCTGCAACCAACTTTATTATTTTTCGAGACAAACTATTAAACATTAGAGTCTTTGAGGAAGAATTTAACAATTCAGTGCTAAGACATTGGTGCATATCAAAACTTTCTTCCTTAGCTGACTTTGTCCATCTCTTTAAAATATATTCGGAGGGTATTTCCAAGATATCAAGATGTAAAAGCACCTTAAGCACATGCGAGCACACCATTCCACTAAATTCAAACATTTTACAATTGCAAGATACTGTCGTAGGGGCTTGGAAGGTAACCATATAAGTTCTTCTTCTAGCACTTGGTTTGTCTGAGTTTGGGACTTGCACTAGTTTGTATAATGCTTTAGGCTCTATTTCATTTAGAGAAAATGAAAATATCTCTTTTAGTTGATCCTTGAAGACCCTAAACATTGCTCTAGTATAAATCTTTTGTGCATGCCTCTCTATTGGGCTTGGAGACCATGAACTTGGTTTGTATTGCAGAGAGCGAAAATCGTCTTCCTCTTCTACGTCATATCGATCTTCTAAATCATTTTCATATTGCATAACAAACTCATAAATTGTTGTATGGTTATTGACTCTACCTTTGAGAAGTGCATTAAAACTCTCGCTTCTTTGCGTTGTAGACATGAAAGCACAAAATATATTTCTAAAGTATGATGGCACCCACTTATCTCGAATTTGATACAAATGTTTTAGATGTGTGTTATCTTCAACTCCATGCTTCTCTATCATAGTAGTCCAACTTGACTCAAAATCCTCAACTGTTAAGCTAAAATTAATGCAACTAAGAAAGTCCTCTTGAAACTTCTCTTTTGTGCCAAATAAAATTCCTAGATGCTCACGTGCTTTCCGAAGAATATGCCACTTACAAAACTGATGAGCCGTATTAGGAAGAACCTCACTTATTGCTTTCCTCATTGAAGGATCTTGATCTGTCAGAATACAAGTAGGATGCTTACCAAACATTGCATTAAGCCATGTTTGAAATATCCACATGAAGGATACAGCGGTCTCGTCTCTAATCAAAGCACAACCAAATAAAATAGTTTGAGAATGGTGGTTTACCCCGATGAATGGTACAAATGGCATACTGTACTTGTTTGTACAATAAGTGGTATCAAAAGTGATTGCATCTCCAAAATGCTGGTAGGCCATCCTTGATCTCCCGTCAACCCAAAATATATTTTTTGCACAATTATTACTATCAAACTGGACTGCATAAAAGAACATAGGATTCTCAGCTTGTAGTTGTTGAAAGTGACTTAGAGTCGTTGAGATATCACTGTCAAAAAGAGGCATTCTTTGGCGCGTTGTAAAGTTGCTTAGGTCCCTCCTCGTGAATGATAAATTATGAACCCCTCCACGTTGAGATGCAATGAAGTCCCTAATATGCTTTGTTGAAATATTTTGCTCACGCATGGTATGTATAAGATCGGCTTCTTCATCTCTAATCTTTCGCCGACACCGATAGAAACGAGATTTTGAGGGGCTCGGTACTAATTCATGGTTGTGTTTCTTCTCAAAGGATGATATGATCCAATTTTCTTCATCATCTAATTTCACACGCATATTTGCTTTGCAACTAGTTCGAATGCTAGATATCTCCTTCGAAGGGCTTTTCTCGAATGTGCTATCCCTAAATAATGGCTCATTCCCTTTGCTTTTAGGAAAACCCTCATGAGAGCATGTAAATACTTGCATTGTGACGACATTCTTTCTCTTAGACAAATAATTAGAGCCTTTTCTAATCCCAAACCCAATTAATAGTGCATAAGCACTATAATAATTCATTGCTTCCTCCAAACTTTTGAACATCATACCGATCTTCGGTTCATCAATACATGGTATGTGACTCAAGTTTTCTTCTAAATGTTCGTCTTCATGTGGCTGGTTCTCTTGCATCGTCTTTTCTATTTCTTCATTTGCACGAAAAAGATCACTGTCTACATATTCCCCTAATCTTTCCATGAGACAACCTGTAAACATAATGGAAAGATTATTAGATTGCTTCATAGATGGAGAAAACCTGAAAAAGGATTCAGTCCTAACTTAAATGGCAACTCAAACAATCCACAGAGTCAAGATATCACCACAGACTCTCAGACCTTACAACATGTATTAAATAACTATCCATACAAATGAAAACCTGAAAAAGGATTCAGTCCACAGTAACGTCAACAAGTAATGATAACAAGTAATCTGATGGACACATGATATAATTGTGAAGGTAATATTTTTAAGACTCGGCTTTCCTCTAGCAACAGAACTCTTATGCAGGAGATGGATACAAAATATTCTTTAATTTTTAAGACTCGGCTTTCCTCTAGCAACAGAACTCTTATGCAGGAGATGGATACAAAATATTCTTTAGTAGGATCATCAAATGGCATTACCAGATAGAGAACGGATGAATCCATTGAGCAATCTAAAAAGTCAATGCATTAAGCAATTGAAACTTTCAGAGCATTGACATGAATTTTGGTGAAGTAATTTGTGTGTTTCCAGTCTGGTAGAATGATTGAAATTATACAAAAATAAAATCTAATTGGTATGAGGTGAGCTGAGAGATACAAGTACAAAGGAAAGCATGACAAGCCATGGGAAGCCAAAAATTGTATAGGGGAAGACATGAAACCTTCGTTCAGAATCGGAGAGAAGAACGAACCCTTGGATGACTGGATGACAGAAATCGAACTCAAAGCTAGAATAAGTGAAAGAAAGAAAGAAAGCATATGTATGTGAATGCATTTGCAAATTTTCAAAAAATTTTGGTTTAAAATCATAACGTTGATTGTTTATGACAATTTAACATGTAAATTGATGATGAAATAGAGTTGAACAAGGAAAAAGAGTTGAGACGTTCGTTATTCCTAGAATAAAAGTGAGATTGCATAGTTTGATTACTACACCCTTAAATATCTTTTATTTGAGGATTTTGCAGCACAAAGTCACATAATAGGTAAAGTTTCAATTCATGTAACATCTTTGGGTTAGCTAAAATCAAAAATCCTACAAACAGTTTGAATAAGAGAGGAGAACGAACCCTTGGATGACTGGATGACTGGAATTTTTTTTTGCAGCGTTGCTTCGCTGTTTTGGTTCAGAATCGGAGAGGAGAATGAACCCTTGGATGACTGGATTTTCAGAAATTATGGGTTCCTGTTTTGGTTCAGAATCGGAGAGGAGAATGAACCCTTGGATGACTGGATTTTCAGAAATTATGGGTTCTCTTGGGAAATTATGGGTTCTCTGTTTTGGTTCAGAATCGGAGAGAGAGATTACCGAGATTTCTTTTTTTTTCTTTCCGGTTTTGTGTGGTTTTTATTTTCCGAAAATACCCCTCTTGCAATTAATTCATGCCACATCATCTTGATAAGATCTTAAATTAAAAACTTAATCCAATGGTTATAAATGTTGGTGGACAAGGATTCTTATCAACTTAAGTTGACAAGAGTTTCTCTCTATATATATATATATATATATATATATATATAGAGAGAGAGAGAGAGAGATATATATATATTAATGGGTAACCTTGTTATAGGAGGAGATTTCTCTCCTTGTCGCCTATGTGGCATAATCCTCACCATTCTCATAAAGTAGGCACAAATCCCCACTAACTCACACTCTCTCTCTCCTACTTTATGAGAATGGTGGAGATTGTGCCACATAGGCGTCAAGGAGGAAATCCCCTCCTATGACAATGATACTCATTAATCACACACACACACACACACACACACACACACACACACACATATATATATATATAGAGAGAGAGAGAGACTGAGAGAGTAAAGCTCCTATAAACTTAAGTGGATAGAATCTTTGTTCACCAACTTTTTTATCCATTGATTTTGCATTGAGATTTGTGCTGGCATGTGATATAAATGATGGTACAAATCTCAAAGATATGATTGATGTGTAGCACAAATCTCAAAACATAATGAATGGATAAAAAGTTTGGTGGACAAATGCTCTCATTCACTTAAGTTTATAGGAGCTTTACTACACACACACATACATACATATACATATACACACACACACACATATGTATACATATACATACATACACACACATACATATATATACATATACATACACACACACACACATATGTATGTGTATGTGTGTGTGTTGTATGTATGTATTCTCATCTCATTGAAAGATTGATTTTCTATTTTTATTTTACCAATAAAATAAAAAATAACTCCTTACTAATAATCTGCATCACTCTCACTAAAGTCCGTGTTTATGTAGATATGATATCACTATATCATTCGTGTATATGTTACAACATGACAAGTAGAATGCTCCGGAATGGAAATTAGGAAATGTCCATAATACCTGGATGTAGTCAGATACAATTTGAGGGGGTTTGTAGGATCACATTCTCCTCCCAATGCTTGTGAGCTCACGGTTTCATGTTCTATTTCTTTCTCAGATGGGGTTCGTTTCACCTTTCCCTCTTGCTGTCGGTGACTTGTGAGTATTTAGCATAGATAAATAAGAAACTTAGGGCACTGGCCTATTCAGCTCATTGTTAGAGCGTCTGCTAATAACGCGAAGGTCGCAGGTTCGAGACCTGCATGGGCCAAAAATGCTTCTGTCGGTCGTTTCCAGGCATTTTCTGGGCACTTTCAAGTACTTGGGAGTTCAGTGCAAACGATGATAATTTTTGGGGGGTTCTTTTTATTTTTACTAACAGGGTTTTGCGAATATACCTTGACAAATCCTATATTTGCAAATTTATCCCTGAAAGACCTAGAGTTATTGGCGGGCTTTAGTGTGACTTCGAAAATCTTTGGGGTTTACTAACACTGATAGTTCTTCATTTACCAATAGCGTTTTTTTGTATATATAATACCGGAAATCTCCTGCATTTGCAAATTTATCCCTAAAAAACTAGATATTGCTCGACGATGCATTATTCAATATCAGGTCCCAATTTACCGAATCTAAGTCCCAATTAAAAATTAACACTATTTTCTCACTCATATCTTTTTTAGGGGGGGTTAGTCACCTAGAAATTAAAATTAGAACTGCGATAATCTGTGGGATAAAATTTTAACGTGTTAGTCACATAAAACTAAAACTAGAACAAAATTTTACAGTGTTAGTCAAGTAGAACTCTAACAAAACTAGAATTGGGATAATAATACAAAATTATCCCATTTTTTTATTTTTCTATAAAAAATGAGAGTTCTAGTCTCTCAAATTATTCCAAGTTTTAGCTTAGAACTAGGTGGTAAAAAAATAGAACTCATATATTTATTTTGTTATTTTTTTATTTTTTATATTTATTTTTTTCTTTATTTCTTTCCTATTATGATTATCACCATCATTAGACCATCAGTATAATAAGGAAAAATTGCTTCAAGACCCCAAAACTCAATTTCCATTGTGCTGTAGCCCCCTTACTTTCCCTAATGTGTTGCAACCCCTTCTTTTTTAAAAAATTACGTCCAGGCCCCTCCAGTCCAAAACCCTGATTTTGCCCTCTTATCACCATCATTAGACCATCAGTATAATAAGGAAAAATTGCTTCAAGACCCCAAAACTCAATTTCCATTGTGCTGTAGCCCCCTTACTTTCCCTAATGTGTTGCAACCCCTTCTTTTTTAAAAAATTACGTCCAGGCCCCTCCAGTCCAAAACCCTGATTTTGCCCTCCCTTCACCCAAGACCCCAAAACTCAATTTCCATTGTGCTGTAGCCCCCTTACTTTCCCTAATGTGTTGCAACCCCTTCTTTTTTAAAAAATTACGTCCAGGCCCCTCCAGTCCAAAACCCTGATTTTGCCCTCCCTTCACC